GGTCAGTTTACTATATTTGATAACTTAGCATTGGTAAAAATTATTAAAAAGCTAATATGCAATCACTATTTATTATATATTGCAATTATAAAACATTTCTTTATTGTAATATACCATGGTACTCTAATGTATATGCTTTAGACAGTTTTCAGTAAATTACTGCTAAACAATAAATTAAAAAAGAAGTGTGAGACACTTAGAATATTTTAAAAAGGAGCACTCTTTAAAATGATTGGTGATATGCAGTATATAATAAATGTCATAAATTAATAAGGCTAACATATGTAGTTTACTAAACAGATTTTTAATCAGGCTGAGTATAAATCACATACACAACTTATTCAGAGTAATATTTTTCCATATAATTTCCATAAAGTCCTATCAATAAAGTATCAGTAATTTAAGGATAAGTGAGACACTGACAACCTCTTGTCTCATGTAATTTGTCTATATAATTTTAAATTACTAAAGAATTCGAGTATTCCCTGTCTCTAAAATATTTTGTGATGATCCTTATTTTATTTTCAAGGACACTACCACCTCCCTCTCACAGACTTTCAAAGTTAAGTAACCACTAAGATCACAGTCATAATTCACATATACATAATGTGAAGTGAGACGACTAATAAGTCAGAATATTACCAATCCAACCCTTTTCACCTGTTACACGAAATCTGTTAACTATAATGTCTTGAAGCTATGTAATTACTCAAAATGATAAAACACCACTAGACTTTTCATTGTTTAGTTTGTCTTTTTAAAATACTATACTCACGCAAAAAACAAACAAACAAACAAACAAAAAAACACAACACTTCCCCAAACCAAACTCCTTGCTGTGAAACTGGAATCAACTTACAGTTGACCCTCCAAGTGGGTTTCTGGGGCTGTAAACTCCAGGAGGAGATGGTCCATCTTTCATCTGCAGGTAGATTCAAACCACTAGAAAGGTGCCCCTTCTGGGTTACCAGGACCAGTCCTGAAGGACTAGGCCACCCAAACTCTCTGTCTGCAAAATAGTTTTCTTCTTTTTTAAAAAAGAAGATGAAGAAGAAGCACAAATACTATTCAAGTTGTTATGATAATTTTGACACCATTCCAAAACCAAAAACTTTAGTCAAATATTAAATTACTGAAATTGCAAATCTGTTAATCTATAGCACATTTTACTCATTTGTGTAATTCCAAAATTCACTTTCATTTGATTGACTGTTTTAATCTTCCTTAACTTGTGAGTAACTGAAAATAAATGGTGCATTCCTAATACTATAAATATGAAAAATAGGAAGTGCTTAGGGACTGCAGGAGAATACATTAAAACCAGTCCATTTTCTCGTTAACGTTTTCTCATTCTGTTTGTGTACAAACCCAGTGCATAGAGAAGATAGATCACAAATTCACAGCCTACCAAAAACATGCTCTGAATTTCATGTTCTGACAGCAGAAATTGGTCCACATCTGTGACCATTTCCCCTGAAGGCCCCTGTCTGGTTGGTGCCATCCAGGTGTGCCACAGTCTGAATGAGGGGACATCACGTCAAATTCCACTCATCTGTCAGTGTAGTGGATTATTTCTTGAGAGACTGAAATTGGCTGTTCAGAATCAGAGCATCATCAATCTTACTGGTGAGCGGGCCAGCGAGGGGGGCCAGCCGTTCCTAAGCAGGTGAGAAGGCAGCTGGTAGAAAGCCTTCACTCACTCTCGTTCAGGGCTCTGAGTGAAAGATGTGTCATTTTTCACATTTCTCAGATACTTGGTATGCACGCCATGTCTGTCTGTTCCTGCTTTATAAAAGAAGCGATTTTTCAAGCTTAGGCAAATGTGGCAAAGCCCAGGGTCTGCTTGTGCCTCATTTTTTCTCATCATGTCACTTGTTTTAACTGATTTGAGAAAATGGGATTATGGTTTTTGTGGTGATGTTGGGTCCCCCGCCCCTTTTCTGCTCATTTATCCAGCTATTTATTTCTTTATTTTCTCATTGAGGAGTGGATTGTCACAGATAACTGGTCCTGATTTCTTTTGTTTTCATAGACATTTCATTAGTGTCCCTGAAGATTTAAGACTCATGCAAGAAAATATCACAATACTCATAAAAAAAAGTATCTATTTGTTCTTAAAATCAAAGTAGAAGATTGTACGAAGGAGTCTGACTGGAATAATCTAGATTTTTGCTGTGAGCGAGATCTATTGCTTTAATCTTCGCTGCTATTGTTGAAAAACCAAGAAAGTTGAATGAGCGTATTAACATGGAACCAGTGGATGCTCAGTTTAATATTATCTTAATCTTTCAGCATCTAGAGAGTGGTATTTATAGCTTCATTTCATCAATGAAGCAGAAATAGGTCTCAAATGTATTAGCACTTGAGGTTGAAATTGGTTCTGATGCTGCAGAGGTGTTTGGTGTTTATATGAATCACACATTTAGGATAACAAGCAATTTGAAGAATAGACCATGGAGAAAACAAATGCTGAGCTTAAGTTTGGTCAGAATCCATTGACCTACTTCACAGCTGAAAAATCACAATATTTTCATAAAAATCCTATCCACATACACAGGCATGGTTTTGTTATGTGTAAGAGTCGCAAGCCCTCCTCAGCAAGAACATATTAACTAAGAGAGACAATATATGTTAACCTGAATAGCAAATTATGTTTTAGCTATTTCCTGAGTATACTCAAAGAGGGTAAAATAAGACACAGTATTTGATGGTAAGTTCTCATAATGTGCTACTTTAATTTAAAAGCAAGATGACAGAAACATAGAGTTTTAACCTTGGTATGTGACTTGTTGGCTGTGTGAGCAGCATAAGTTTACACATCCAACCTCCATAACGCCAAGGTGGTGGTTGTGAATTAGAGTCTTGTTAGTAATTGTTACTTTGGCCTTTACAAGGCACTTTCACCGACGTCACTTTATTTGTAGGCCTGCAATCTTCCCAAATGGGACACAGGATTCAGAGCTGAAGTGACTTGTCCGAGGTGATGTCACTGATGCGAAGTGTCAGAGAGGGTAGAGAATCCAGTATCTGACCCCCTTCCTCCCCATTGCACCCCCTTCTCACTACAGGTCAGGGATTTGCAACTGAAATTAGTTGAGATACTGATATAATTTGGAAAAGGGCTCACACCTCAGAGGCTGCTCACAGGCAATGTTCTGCGGGCCAAGAACATTCTTTCCTCCTGTGGACAATGGTTCTGGATCCCATATTCCAGCGACCTAACAAGGCTGCTCCCAGATACAAGGTCTCAGACAATTCATCCCATCTATTGCAACTTCAGGTTTTTGGGGGGGCAAATGGATGGATAGGAGTGGGTGGATAGGATAGGACCAGAGTGGGTGAACTACACCGTCCTGTTATAAATATTGTCAGACAAAGTGAATTAATCTTGAGAACAGTGTCTGAAAACCTCTAAATTAGTAGTTGTTTTTTTCCATTAGGTTAGGAGCCAACAAGTCGACTTACTACTCATAGGAACCCTGAGAACAACAGATCTGAACCTTGCCCCATCCTGTTCGTATTAGGACATTTTATTACTGAGTATTATAATTAATACAAACTCCTTACATTACTTGCCTGGATCTGTGACAACTCAAAGGCTTCCTTCTCAGGTCAGAAAGGTGATTGAATAATAGGATATAGCTTGGGAATGCCAAGATCCAAGTTAGCTTAATCTCTGGTCATAGCTCTGAATCTGGCGGTTCCCATCCCAGGCGCAGGGCGGGACACTCCAGCAGAATTCCCAGGGCCAAGCACGTTCCCCTGCCCACCTGCAGGGGCACCAGCGCCCCCTCGCTGTCCCTCCGATCCAGGGTGTGGAGAGAGGGGTTGACTGGGCCCTGGAAAGAGCCTCAAGCAGGGCCACTCTCGACCCACATCGTCGGCTGGGGGTTCTGCAAGCAGAAGGGCTGTGCTGCCCCTGGCCGGGCTGGCGCAGGGTCCGAGCTCCCCACCCCGGACGCGCCCTGGCTGCCTGCGGAGCCGGCGGAGGCACAGCCCCTGGACCTCGCTGCGCTGGAAACCAGGCGGGTGGAAGCTGACGGAGAATCGGGAGGGATCTGAAGGGGAGGCTGGGAAGGCTGAAGATGCAGGGCTCTGCGCACCTGCCAGCGGGGGCCGGGAGCTCTGCGTGCAACTGGTCACCTAAGCCCGGACTCTGAGGCCTGGGACGGTGCGGCGGGTTGGAGCCGCCGGGTGAGTGAAAGATATCGAGCCAAGCCAGAAACTAAAGGAGCATGGGAGGATGTCTGCCTGAGAACCAGCGAAGGCAGGAGCAATGAGAACTGGGGCCGCAATAAACAGCCTGGCAAATGAAGAAGACAAAAATCCAGACCGAAGAGGAACGACAAAGACTGAGAAAGCCCAACGCATACGGAACTAATACTCAGTATGAGGGGAGGGGGGGGGGATCGTACTTGTCACTGAAACTGTCAAGAGAAAATGAAAAAATAAATAAAAGCCATCAAACCCACTGGAGAGCAAGTCAAGGAAGAGGGAGAGAAGGAGGCAAATTAAAAAGACAAGAAAGAGTAAGTTACTTAAATTTTTTTCTTTGTTAACTTCTTTCCTAAGTTTATGTCCACCACTTCCACCTTCGCCACCTGAAAACAAGGCTTACAATCTTTGAATACAAAGGTACCTTAAGAATAGACACATTCTTTTCTCAATTGCACCGGTCGTATTTGCCACCACCCCACCCCCAGATATTCTGTTCCTGTGAACGTTATCCTGCCTCAGAAGAAGTTTTTTTCTTATTACTGGACAAAGCATTCCAAACCAAACCACTTTTACTCCTCAAGGTGCTTGAGGACATTTTATTTGAGAAGTTAACAAATGTGTCTGAGGCGATGTGGCACCCCCAGTGCCCTCAAAGCATACTGTCTTGGAGTTCACAGCAGGATGCCCACATTCTGACACCTTCTTCCCCAGGATGCAAACATCTGTTAAGGAGATGAGAGCTAGGCTGGAGGCGACTGCAGCAGAGCCAGCTCCAGACTTACCTGGTCTGTGCAGGTGGTGCTGCTGGAAAGTGTGCTGCAGAGACCCCTGGCAGAGCAGCATGGCACAGGCACTTATCCACAAATACAGGACCCAGGACATCGCAGAGACCATGGCCATTCTCTAAAGAGAACATGAGACAGGAAGAATCACCCCCAGCTTCAGGCCCCTAGCTCAGCCTGTCCCACTGAAGAAGGAAGAGGGGGCTCCCACGTCATGTTCCTTTGCTATTTTGCTGGCTGGAATTAATAATCTTGCAGAGGTCATGCCATGAAGTAGGATTGAGGGAGAGACCTTTCTAGGACATCATGAATGAGTATCTGAAATTGTACAAAACCAAACTCCACACGCAGATACAGATTGCCAAAATACAAAAAGTTCTGAACTCACAGGTAGCTTGAAACACCACCTGATGGTTTGAACCGCTGACTAAAAACCCCACTTTAAAGTCAGGCATTGAAAAGCTGCATTCTTCTGTTCTTGTTCTAACTTCATTGCAAGTCTGACATAAGCCTAAAAGGAAAGAGTGGGTTCATTTTCTTTTCTTTTTTTTTTAAATTCTACAGTCATGAATTTTTAATCACAATACTGTCTTCTAAACTAAGTAATCATTTCTCAGAGGCATGCTGTAATCTCCCAATAGAAACAAGTCTTTTTGGTTGGACTTGAGATCAGAAAGAATTGTCTTCAGCCAGAATGAGTTTTACATACAAGATCTATGCTTCTATTATAAAGCAAGCCATAATTTACAAGATTGCTTTTCCTGCTAGGATTCCATTGTGGCATTTGTTGTGTAGTGTTGATGAATATGCATATACAGGTGGTGTGTGTATTTTTGGATGAGCATATACCTTTTCTCAGGCACTGAAACTTTGACAGTTTCTCTGCACCTATAAGGATCTGGGAGCTACAAGGCTCAACTGCGCTACATATTGTCCAATTTCTCAAACAACACCTTATGCTGCATTTTATATTGCCAAATTAATCAAACTTGAGGCATCTCCCTTATTCACATAGTGAGAGGGAAGCGGTTATTTCTGTAAGAATCCCCTAACTGTACACTTTTTTCCTCCTTAGGAAGAGAGGGCTTTGGAAGGAAGATTGCTCTATTTTTTCCACTGTCATATCAAGAATTTCTATTACCTATTTAAAACCTGCTAGTGACTTCTCAGTACGACTCCTTTATTAATGTAAATGGGCACTCTTTACATTAATAATTGGGACATTCAGAGAAAAAAATATGACATAGCTAGATATACATATAGTATTTGCACACATAACACACAAGAGAGATCAACCTTTATGATTGTTTCTTAGAAGTACAATAGACATTTGATACCTTAATTAAATGAAAAGTAGAAAACCTTTTTTTCCCCAGCAGCCTGATACCCCAGTCTCTGATTCGGATAGACCATTCACTTGGTCATTAGTTTCACTGTCCACTGTTTACTTTTGTATGCAACATTCTTTGCTTGACTGTTCTGAAAACTCAGGTATAGAACAAGAAGGCAGTCTCTTCATTTGAGACCAATAGCAACACCCTTCCTCTAAACACTAAATGAAATGCACCTTGAAGCCATTTAAAAAAAGAAAAAAATCTCCTCAAACTATAGAGACAAAACAAAGGTAATTGTGGTTTGCATGTGCTGCTTGTGAATTTCTGTTAAAATGCATTAGAATAAAACTTGTTGGGAAAATCCTAGCACAATCTAAACTTGACAGTTTGTCAACGAATCTCTTTCTTGCTCACTTCTTCTGCCACATAGATATTAGCACTCAAAAAGATTTTACCTTTGCAATAATTCCTTCTCTCTTTTTCCCATTTAAACTTTCTTTAATTCTCAGCATTCCTTCCAAGCTTCCTGACTATCTTTTTCTGTTTACTTTCATTACGGAGATGCTGTTTCTATATTAAATAGGTGTTTTCCCCCTAAATAATGCATCTAGCCTTTCATAGTTCTCTAGGTTCAGTTAAATATGTTTCCAATCTGCTTTCTCAATCTTGAATCCTAAAGAGGCTTCTTACCTGAAAAATCCAGCCAAGAGCAGAGAACTCTATTAGTGTTCATTGGAAAGATCTAACACTTTTTAAAATCCATCTGTGCCACAATACGAGACTTCTGAAAAAACGGCTTCCCAATATTCTTCTTTATCAAGATTAGAAAAAAATTCTCTCTCTTCCAATCCTATTTCCAGAATAAAGAAGACATCAGGGTTTATTCAGACTGCATTGTCAGAAAAGGAGCCAAGGTTTGAGAGGTGGAAACCTTGTCATTTTCACCTTTAAATCATCTCCTGGCGTCACCTCTGCCTGGCGAGACCTTTCAAGTGATGGTGAGATACTGTGTAGTTTCCTGATGAGATTCAGTTTATAGTCAGTGACGGAGCACCCCCACTCCAGTGCATTCCGGGCAGAGTAAGGCAGCCAAATGCAGGAGCTGGGCTGCTATACTGTGCAATCCTGTAAGTAGCAGTAGTCTGTTTCAATACATCCTCCTCTGTAAAGTATCACATGTCTTAAAGTGACATTACCCCCTATTACAGCTCCCGTGAATGCTAATACCTGCCCACTAACTCTTCCACAACTCAAGCATTGCTTTAACACTTTCTTGCCTGATAATGTTGTCTCAGAGCTTTTACTGATACATTTCATTGTTAAAAGAAGAAAGAAGGAAGGAGAAACAAAAATATCTGAAATACAATATTGGTATTTTTATGCATAAACCAATTAAGATCCTGATTTTTAAAACCTGCTTAATAAATATAAATATATAATAGGCAATATTTAAGTCCAGGTTTTGGTGAAAAAAATACTTTTGTTGAAGAGACTTTTTTTGCCCCCTAACCTCTTCTCTCTCAAATAACCAGCTGGAAAATGTGTGGTATACTTAGATATTAAATATTTGGTTTCTAGTTTCTATGGTTTGAAATATTTTTCTTCAGAAGTAGACATGTGATTTTTTTCCTTAAACATCTATTTAAGATAATCTAGTTCTATTAATAGTGTTCTGGCATTCATGTTGAGCTATTCATGAAACACCTACCACATGCAAGGGAAGAGCCTGGTGGCGTAGTGCATTACAAGATGGGCTGCTAACTTCTGTAAGGTCAGTGGTTCAAATCCATCGGCAACTCTATGAGAGAAAGATGGTGTAGTCTCTTTCTGTAAAGATTCACAGCCTAGAAAGTCCAGTGGAGGTAAATCTGCATGATGGTAGAGAGTACAGGTTTTGATCTATATGTTAAGAGTTGAGGACAAAGTACAAAAAGGATCACTGTGATTTCCACATTTAGATATTATGCTGTCTATTTTGAATGTAGTGACTTTTACATTTGAATATCAAGATATTCATCATAATTTTCCTTCCTCAAACATGTTCTAAATTTCTTCTAGTTTTCTTCAGGAATTATAAAGAAGAGGTGATTGTGCAGTGCATCATTGCAATCCACTCTCTGCTATTCATGTGAGAGAACATCAGGGCCCTCCAACTAAGCAGATTTGTCCCCTAGTCTTGCATGTGGCATAATACACACATAATGGCCCTTTGTAGCATAACAACTGTTCACTAAACTTTACCGCTAAGCTGTGTGTCATTTCCAACTAGATAGCATCTAACAACAACAATTCTACACTAAAAAAAATTAGTAAAAAATGTCAAAGTTCTAATCACCATTTGGTGGTTCATTTTTATTGTGTTGGTAAATCACATATTAAATGTTTATATATCCTGCTGTGGTAACATAGGGAGATCTAGCAGCCTCGTGGTAAGGAGCTGCACTGCCAACTCTGAAAACATACAGTTTGAACCCGCCAGCTTCTACAAGGGAGAAAGATGAGCATTTCCTCTCATGTGATTTACAGCCTCTGAAACCCCACTAGAGGGTCAGCGATGGGTGTGTTCTGACTTGCAGGTATATAACAACAACATTGTCATAACATAACAGAATAACAGGTCCTCTTGTTAGTTGCTACTGAATCAATTTTGACTCATGATCTCATGTATTGAACTGCTCCATAGGATTTTCTTTGCTGTAATCTTAATGACAAGACTGCCAAGGTCTTTCTTCTGCTGTACCAAAGGGTGAGTTCAAAGCACTAACCACTGGTATGTTGCACCATCTAGGGACTCTAATGAGAACAACAGCAGCAGCTAATCATAGACTCTTCACTGTATTTTTCTAAGTATGTTGGCAATAAGATAAAACTTGTTGCTCATAAAATAGAACTTGATCCTTTTTTATTCACTCCATAATACTTGTTTTTGTTAAGTGACATCAAGTCAATTTCAACACATAGGAAATTCATGTGCAACAGAGAGAAACCTCCCCAATCACTGCTGCGCTTGACTATGTATGTCTTTGCTGTCACAATGCCAACACATCTTGGGAAGAGTCTTCTTTCTTTTTTTTTGTGACTGTGACATTAGTTTTTTTTCATTTCACAGACTGGAATCTAATGAGAAACAGGGAGGATAAGTAACTTGTTCAAGGTACTACAGCTATTAAGTATACTTGGAACAGGGCAGGTCTCGTTCAAAAGTCCATATCTTAAATAAATGTTGAAATGCGAAATGCTTAATGGGAAAACTAACTTTTCCCCCCCTGCTTTTGACATTTAAAAAACATTATTATTCATTTCATTCTACAGGCATATATTAAGCCCATGTTAGGCATTGGATTTATTCATGTAAGTAATAATTGGTTTTGTTCTTATTTTTGTTATGCTAATGAATTGCTATTAAAATGAAAGTACAATTTTCCAATATAGGCTACTATTTTTAAAACTGTAACTATTACGTTTTTAATTTCTAGAGATTAAGGTTCAACACAGCTATTGACCTGTATGCCAATTCAATTTCATAAATTGAAAGTGCCTTTTAATGGATTATGTTCATGATACACAGATAGGCATTATTGGGAATTTATAATGATCATAATAAAGACTAAAAGAAAACACTTTGTTGTTCAGGCTTGAGTGGTTTTTCTCTACACATGTATTACAGGACAAGAGTATCAGCATAGTTTTATTCTTTTCTGCCAGATACCTTTGATCTCATTTAAGGAATATTACTCATCCTAATAGTACAAACTTCAGTATAATTGTCCTTTAATGGGCATTTTATCCTTTCTTCCAACTCAAAGCAAAATTATTGATACCTTTCAAAGAAGTAAAATCTTTTCTTCTCCTGTATATTCCACTTCTTGACCCCATTGTGCTTGGCTGGACCTCTAACTTCTAGTGATCAAGATGTCAGTAGAATAGATGGGTTAACTTTGTTGGAGCATATACTTATAAATTTGACATCCTCCAGACTTCTCTTTCTCTTGAAACAGGGACTCACTATTCCATCAGCCTAGATCCAAGTAACTACAATGAATAGAAGGCCTCCTTGTCTTCTTCCAACCCAAGATAAATATACTTAGGGAGCTATTCTTCAATCAATTGAGACTTAGAGATTTTTTTGTTTTTTTCACTGTTGTTATGTGACATCAAGTCACCTGTGACTCGCAGTGACCCTATGTAGAACAGCTCTAAACCCTGCTCTATCCTGCGCCAATCTTATGTCTCTGACACACCCCAGTCACTGAAGCAATCCATCACATGAAAACTATAATCTATATTATTCATTAAATAATAAAAAATAGAATTTTTTTTCACGCAAAATGTGCTAGTGCACATCCTTAAGAAATAGCAGTACATATCAGACAACTTTTCTGCCTTCGCAGTGCTTCCTGTAATCAAAATCCATTGCAAAAAATTTAATAGGGTAAGAGTCACACACTCATCATCACTTATGCCTGTTCAGACATTTAGACACTGCCTGAGCAGTGTTTTGAAAGGCAACAGACAACACCACCATTGACTTAGGTCCTTCTGCTTCATGAATATGAGATATCCTAAGCATTTGAGTATTCAGACCTTGATGTGAGTGATACACCTAAAGACAGACATTACACATAAGATGGTATATAAATAAATGTACATATGCAAAAGAGAGAAATAAAAGCCTACTCACCAGAACTCTTTCCATGGACAAAATGACAGTAATACAGAAAAAAACTACTGGAGGTAAAAGGTGAGACACTAAAAACTAAACCAAGCCAATTACCACTTAGTCAATTCTTACATAGCAACTCTATACGGCAGAGTAGAATAGCTCTTCCATTGGGTTTTGGTGTCTTGGAATCTTTACAGAAGTGGGCTGCCTCATCTTTTTTCCCATAAAGAGGATAATGGATACAAAACACCTACTTTTTGCCTGGCAGTCCAGTGCTTAAACCCACTATATAACCAGTGTTCTCTAGATACTTACATAGTCAAGAATATTCAACAAGCTGTGTGACTATTATATAGTAACATTACCATGTAATAGTCACATACACTGTTGTATAGTGAAAGAAACAGAATATAAGGTGAAAGGATGGACATCTGATTCTAGAGAAGAAAAGAAACACAGGAGGCAAAGAAGAAACCCATCAGGAAAGCAGAAGGAGAGGACAGAGAACAGAGGTGTCTGGTGAGGATTTGTACTGGAAAACCGTTCTGTGGTGTATGGCTCCTGTATGTGTCTCTACAAAATTCCTGTAAACATCTTTAAAAACAATAATGTCACACATACTTAGTGCGATTAAGCTAGGCGGAAAGCCTATGAATCAACTAAGTCCTGCATCTTGCCCAAATGTTCTACCATTTATTTATTTGTGGACATAGCAGGCTTAATTCCACTCTCATTATTTGGGGGTATTATAAATAAAAGTTACCATTCCTATAGTTTAAAAACAAACCACTTAATAATTTGAACAACTTGAATTCATGAATGTGCAAAAAAATTGAGACACACAAGATTTTATGTCTATATTTGTTTTGAAATTGAAAAACTACTGAAGGAACTTGAATAAATTACATCTGGACTGAGAAACATTTCACATTTCAATCCAATACAAAGCAATGTGGCTTAAATGTAAATAATTCAAATAAGTTTCAAATAGTTCTTTAAGTAAGGCATTTTAGTTGTGATTTCAAATACCTTCTATTTCTCTTGTTCCATTTCAACTGAAATTGGAGGCACATACAAAAAACCCCAATCATTGGCATTGGTACTTTGTCTTGTAATCACATGCCTGCTGTAGCATTTAAGCTTGATTTCTCTCTCCTAATTATATTAAGAAACTCAACAGCTGGTAGGGAGCTCTAAGTGGCCTTGTGGTAAAAACAAAAATGAAAACAAAACAAAAAAACCCACCAAACAAACAAACGGAAAAAACACAAAACAAAACCCAAAAAACTGTGCAGCAATTTAAAAGGTGCATGATTCAAATCTGCCCGTTGCTCCTGTGATTGTTGTTGGTTGTTATGTGCAGTCAAGTCACCTGACACTAATAATGACCCTATGTACAGTAGCTCTGAAGCCTTCCTTGTCCTGAGCCAGTCTCACTGACTCTGACACGCCGTCTCCCTAATTACTGTATCAATCCATCTCATCCAGGGTCTTCCTCTCC